CTCGCTCTGCCAGGTGGGGAAGAGGTGCGGGTCAGCTGCCTCCCTGGGGCTTCTCTCCCTGGGGTCCCCGCTCCACCCTTTTTGATGTGCTGAGCACCCAAGCCGCTGCAGAGGACTGAGACCCTGTCGCCCCCCACCCGCCATCTGGGTGGTGGGTGCAGTTCGCCCCCTGGGCACGATCCACACCCAGCAACCATCAGGGCGCCCTCTGCTCCCGGCCCCCGCGACTAGAGGAACCTGGGGGAAGAGAGAGGGGTGGCTGGGTCACCCTGGCAGCGGGAGGAAAGCAGGAGTTCCTGGAGTATTGTCTCCCCGGGGCCGATGCCTGAGCCCGCGCACTCCCTGGCGCTTTCAGGGACATAGTGAGGGGGGGGGTGCGGGGGGAGGGAGGTGGAATGGGTTTGCGGAAATTACCTCCGAAGGCTGACTGTGCACATGCACTTGGCGCCTTGTGCACATTTGGACGAGGGTTTAATGGAGACACGTGGGAAGAGGCTCGGTACCTGGTGGACCCCCCAAAAACATGAAAAGATGTTCAACATCACCAGTCATTAGAGAAATGCAGATCAAAACCACAATGAGATACTACCTCATACCTTTTAGGAAAAAAAAAACACACTCTCCTAGGGAAGAGAAGGATGCCTAAAGGAGACTTGATTTTCTTGGATTTGCTGCAATTCCTTAAACCAAACCAGTCTTTCCGGGCGTTAAAGTAAATTACAGGTAAGTGGGGACGGATCTCTGGAGGAAATAAAAAGCCCCCCGCCGCCCCCGCCCCGGGTTTTCGGGGTAGCGGGCTTGGCGGGTATGCTCTCCATGCAGCTTCTGACGTTATCTCACCTAGGGGGTGGGGGGGTGAGGGGGGATGCTGCGTGGGTGGTGCATGTGTCTTTGGCTTAAGGTGCTGAAGCTGGGGCATCTATCTTGGGTAGACCATGGGACTTGAAGGAGGCAAAAAACTGTAGTGCTGTCTGCTATTCTCAGTTAACTTTAGAACCTCAGTCTCTGTTCTCTGTTTCTCTCTATACGCACACGCGCACATGCACGCACACGCGCACACGCACGAATCCTGGTGTGGTCTGCTTGCCTCTCTTTTTCTTTCTATCCCTCCCCCCTCTCAAGCACATCCACACACTCAACACACACACACACACACACACACACCATGGTTGGGTCTGTTATTCTAAATTAACTCCAGATCTCTCTTTTCCTCTCTCTCTG